CAGCAGGAAGGGATCAGCTGTAGCATCATGAACTTTAACAATAACTACCAACTGATGGGCAGTTCACATCAATAAGACCATCACTAGCCTCTCTCACCTGTCACCAGGCGGGGAATGAGCAATAACCACCCCCTGCAGATGCACTGCTTAGCACTTTCTGCCCGATTAGCAATTTATAATGGTGATCAAGAAACAGTCAGCGGCAAATCAAGACAACTGTCTGGCTGCCTGTTTAATTGGCCTTGTTTGCTTTTTGATAAATGGCTCATGACTGCTATAGGCCTCTGTATTTTGACTTTTAATAGGCCACTGTGATTAGACTACCAACAGATACTAGGTCAAAACTGAGGGAAGGTGCAAAAAATGTTAATTAATATCAATAATAGGCAATTATTAGTTAGACAGAAGGACCTACTAACTGCGTGCTCTAATGACTCAGAGCTAACTTGAAGGGAAACAGTGCCAAATTAGCATAACTGTGTGTGCAGGCTGCACGGAGGATCCTAACAAACATCTGTTATGTTAGTAATTCAAATAGAATTCCTGCTTTTCGAGTGATATTTGCAAAATCAGCAATTCTTCTTGGTCATTTCAAGGCACTAACAATACCCTGGTGACTGGTGCCCTTGCAATTGCAGTTCATAGTATTTCAAGAGTTAAATTTCAAATTTTAATTTGGGTACTGTTTTAATTTAGTAACCACTTTTTAAATTGGTAACCTGTATAACTATCACATACAAGAGTCATGTAAACAAGCCTTAAATATAGTCATATTGAAATTGTTATACTAGGGGCAGTCATTATGTAGATCAAGCAGGTTACTCTAGTTACTAACAGAATTTTCATTTTTTTTTACCCAGAAGGCATTGATGTACCCACATATATATTATTGCAAAAGCATAATATATTGCCAAGTATCTGAGCATACTTGTGTGCATGTTTATGTATGTGCATATAGGAGAGAGACAAAAAGTGTCTGCTTACTTGACTGATAGTGGCATGTGTTTACTGTTGTATATTTAGAATGTGGTTTTTAGTCGCTAGTGTACAAAAGAATCAAATTGTTCTGGGAGATATATTTGCCCAAAGAGAACACAAAGCAAAACGGATGAATTTCAGAATGTGCATGACCATTTCTTTTTGTAATTTGTAATTTTTGCATTGTTTTTCTATGTTTAAGAGTCCTGATGAGTTGAACCTCCCAATGGAAATAAGATCAGATGGTTACAGGAAATTGTGTTATCTATAATGTTTACTATTTCATTAGTATAAATAATTGTCTATCCTTCATTTAAATGTTTTGAATATTATTTTAAAGGTAGGCCTGTGCAATCATGTGCCATTTTTCTTATGTGTTGTGAGAAGATTGAGAGAGAGATTTTGTGTTCAAATAATAGAAATGATTTTACTGTGTGTGGGTTTGTGCCACACAATAAACACATATCAGACTAGATATGGGTTTATTAAGAGTCAAATTCTAATTTTCAGTTGCTGCTTAACTGTGGGTAACTGTTTAAGCATTCATGCGATGCCTACTGGTATCAGTGTGACATCAGTGACAGCTATACCATGGCTGAGGACATATAAACTTATGCAGACAGATTTAGAGCTTCGTTAGGAAGCCCAAAAGTAGCATCTGGGACTGCTAGCTCAGGGAAGTGCTGCAAACCCCCTAGACTATATATATCTATAAGGGCTTTTTCTGATTCAAACTGGGGTAAATATATGGCTTTTTATAAGAGGTTAATCATATTTTTCTGTTCTCACACCCGTGTAACTCCTTCACCTTCAGAGAAGTTACCCATCTTTTATTCTAACATTAGCAAAATTCACAACAGGTTGTGGACTCCATCCAACTTCATCACCACAAAGCATGTGTGCTGTTGGAATCTGTATGTAATAGTAGGTACTGGCTGATAGAGGCAAATGGAGAGAAGTTGCTTGGAGCAGGGAAAAGATTTGTTTGATGTTTGAGCAAGGATTACTTTTGATATTCCATAAATAAGTATTTTATTTGACATGCAACTATTTTAAAGGTATGGGATGAAGCAGGCTCTTACTGGCTGATGGATCTGTTCTGTGTATAATATAAAGGGTTCTGTGGCTGAAGAATATCAATTCACACATGTTAGGATCAGAAGATCACAGGAAAGTAGGGTGATCGAGAGACCACTCTCTGTTATCTATTCCAGTCCACTGCCCAGGGCAAGGATTGTCCCTAACTAAACCATCTCAGTCAAGTATCTGTTTAACTTTCTCTTGAAAATTACCATGAATGAAGATTCCACCTCTTAAAAACAATGGTTGAGAAAGGGTATATGGTAACTTTTCACACTGATAGGAGAAAAGAATAAGGTTCTACCTTACCAAGATATGTTTTAATGTAACAATAGATTCTGCTTCAAGCTGGTTCTTTTCACTGAGGGAAGCAAAGAGTGAAGGAAAAAGAGTGTCTGTGAAGTTTAGGGGAGTTTAAGCCAGCCATAGGTCTGTAATATTTTCTATCAGCTGAGCATCGCTAGTGTTGGATAGCAGGACAGATAAAATGTAAGGATCGGTACAATATGGGTGGCAGCAAGCACACTATTCTCTCATCTATCCCCATTGTTCAGTACCTCCTCTATCAGCCTGCCCTAGAATCCAAAGCCTTTCAGAGTTTCTGCAGTTCAAAAGGTCACAGATGAACTGTACTAAACGATGGTCTTAATTTCTAACATAAGCACAGTAACTTTGTCAACAGTGGGTGCCCTCACCAAGCTAAGGATAATGTTTAATAACGGGCATTAAAAACAGTTTTTCATGTGACTAATGCAGCAAAGCAGATGCAGTAACAGATACAGAAACTAATGCCCAATATTTCTATTTGGTATGATAGATTCTTCAAAAATTTACTATTTATTGTGTATGGAGGTTATAGCTGAAATCATGGCCCCATTGTTCTAGACACTGCGCATAAAAATTATAATCCTTGTTGTGAAGAACTTGCTATCTAAACAGACAAGATAGAAAATGGGATTCGTTCTGTTTTATAGATGGGAAACTAAGGCAGCAAGAAGTCACTAAGGCAGTCTTTGGCACAACTGTGAATGGCATTTAGATCCCCTGAACCCAGGTACCTTTAAGAAGTTTTTGGTTAAGCTATTGACTGTTTTCTATGGAATACATAGTTTGAAACTGTATTTTAGTGAAAAATAACTTGATATTAGTAAGTTTAGTTGACATTTACTCTGTTATTTTTATGTACTATACATTTAAGGTGTGTGGACTGTTACCATAATATGGTACCATACAGTTATTTTCCTTTAAGTCGTGATTTTCAATTTTCATCTATTTTTCCACTCAATGAAATCACTTGCATCTTCAGTTTGCCATTCAAGAGAACTGCGCAACTACAGAAAAACAGAAAGTAGAGTACCATATATCCTAAGACTGTAACATCTACAGTTTATGCCTTAAGAGAAATATATCAGATATTTTATTGGTAGACCTGTTTATCTATTCATAGAGAGTCCAGTCACGTGAGGTGGAGAATACTCTTTGTTTCTATAGAATGTGTCAAGAGATGTTTACTGCTGTCGTGGAAACACACGCAGCATACTTTTGGGTCAGGCCAGCAGAAGCTTTTATTTAAAAGAAACTACAGCTGTAGGGGGGACTCCAAAGTGACATGGATCTCCTAAGCACTTGGAAGGGGTTCCCCCCCCCAAGAGCAAAATCAGGAGGCTTATATACTTTTTAACAGTCGCTTACAATTTATGTGATTATATAGTGAAATTAGCTAGAAAAGCAGTTATAAACATTACTTCATTACTTCTTTGCTGTTATCAGGATGAAAACTATGGAGGAGACAAAGGGAAAAATAACACTCCCTGCCTGCACCTGGAAATCAGAGTTGTACATACTTTTTGCTATCTTCAAGGCCGCGGTGAGCGAAGCAGTTGCAAAGGCGTTACAAAGAACAAACACTTTCCCGTATCTGTTCTACTGTACAGAGCCAGCAATTCTCCACAAAGCGGTTATGTCATCTTATAACTCAAATAATCAAAGTTTAAGGCATTTATTTTTTCTGATTTCACACTGCCATAAAGGATTATGCCTAATATCAGCTAAATGGGGGGACTCTAGATAAACTTTTTTTTATCACAAAAGATATACCTTAAACAAAATCTTCCTTTTCAGGCTTTGCTGGTGACAGAGCTCAAGAGACCCTTCCAAACAGAGATCTTTCTGCCAGGCTCTATAAATATTGGGTAAGGAGTCAAAGATGCAGGGCCTACTTTATAGCACTTACATTCATCACATTCACACACTTGTAGTTCCTTTCAGCTGTGACTGTCAGTTAGATTAATTATGACATGTATTGCTATTTAAATGCAAACTTTGGTGAATTTATTCAAGTTTGGCTGTTTTGCACAATGCTCATAGCTGAATTTAAAGGAGGGGTTACTTGCATGGGATAAATGTTTCTCATCGCACTTTCTTTATGACCTTTGCTTCAGTGGAATTCCTTTCTTTCTTCTTCTTTTCCTTTTTAGAAATTGGGTTAGGAGATTGTTTCTCTAAATTCAAACTATAAAATCACTTATTTTCTCTGCATAAAGTTTTCTTTGCAAAGTCTTCTCTAGTCCTGCATCTTTTAAAAGTTTCATCTATTTTAGTAAGATTTGTTTATTAAATTGCTTGTATTTTAAACAAGTTACTTTGCAAGTCTTTAAGGGCTTCTACTTCCAGCTCAGTTGTTGTCTGTTATAGGATGTTATGGGAACTCTCTAAGCATTCTCAGTATCTAGAGATTTAAACATGGTCTGGAGGAAAAAAAATCCCAACAATAAACCCCTCGTGTAGCTTAGGTACCCTGACTGACCTTTCTGTTTTCTCATTTATTTTGCATAAATTATTTTACTAACCCCATCAGAGAGTTAGTGGTAGAAATCTAAAATCTATTTGGCAGAGAAAGCATTTGTTCTGGAAAACAAAGCATTAAATGACATGTACTAGTGCAAAAGGGCAGTCTTCTAACAGAGTCACTCTGGAGTTATACCAAAGCAATTGAGAATAGAATTTAGCTCAGTAGGGTGATCCTCCCTCCCACACAATCTCCTTGAAATCATCTAAATATTTATAGACCCATTTTCTCTTATCATAGCTGTGATGCATCGGTATAGAGGAGTCACCTTCATTTTCTCAGAGCCTGCTACCTTTGTGCTGCGTTCAAAATTTAGGTCTCACCTCTAAACTTACTTAGATTTGCTATCGTAAAATGCTTTTGGAGATGTACTTTAAGGAGAAATTCTTTGACTAAACCAGGGGTCGGCAACCTATGGCACATGTACCAAAGGTGGCACATGACATGGTTTTGATTGGCACGCAGACTGCTTCCCGCCCTGAGGGGTGGGAAGAGCCGTACCCAGATTGAGCAGCATGTGGCTGCCCAGAAACAGCCTTGCACTGCCGCTGACCCCAGCTGGGTAAGAGGCCCTAGTCCCAACCCTGCTCAGGCCCCAGACCCAGCCCGGCGCCACCACCGGCCCCGGCCCTGTCCCTGGCCCCGGCCCCGTGCTGGCCCTGGTCCTGTGCTGCTGGCCATGTGCCACCGCCCGGCCCAGCCTGAGCCTGGCCCCAGTTGGCACCACCTCTATGGCTGGCCCCAGCCCGGTGCCGCTGCTGAGCTGAGGATCCTGCAGCTGCTGATGGCCCCAGGCCTGGCCATGTGCTGCTGGCGGGCCCGGCCCCAGCCAGCGCTGCCGCTGGCCCCAGCACAGTCACGCTGCCAGGATGGGGCCATTGGCAGTGTTGGACTGGGGCTGTGGACCTGCGCAGGACCTAGCCCCATCCCGGTGCTGCCAACAGCCCCAGCCACGGCCACAGCCACGTGCTGCCGGTGGGCCTGGCCCTAGCCGGCACCACTGCTGCTGACCGTCCCAGCCCAGTGTTGCTGCTTGGCTGGGGCCATCAGCAGTGCCGGGATGGGGCCAGAGCCATGGACCTGCGTGGGACCTGGCCCCATCCTGGCGCTGCCAAAGACACTGGCCTCGACCATGTGCTGCTGGTGGGCCCCGGCCTTGCATGGGCCCAGCCCCAGCTGGCACCACCACTGCTGCAGGCCTCAGCCCTGCACAGCCCCAGCCTCAGCCCCAGCCCAGTGCCACTTCAGGCCCATCTGGTGCTGGTGACAGCCCAGCTGCAGCTCCAGCCCTGTGTTGCTGCGGGGCCCAGCCCAATGCTGCCAGTGGGCCCTGGCCCCAGCTCCAGCCCTAGCCATATGCTGCCCATAGCCAGGCTCTAGCCCCGGCCCCTTGTTGTCGGTGGGCCCCAACCCTGGCCCCAGGCCCATGCTGCTGAGATTCCCAGCCCTGTGCTGTCGGCCCCAGCCCCATGCTGCTGGGTGGCCCACCGCCCCATCCCCGCACTGCCCACAGCTCCAGCCCCGTGCTGCTGGTGGGCTCCAGCCCTGGCCCCAGCCCCACACTGACCACAGCCCTGGCCCCAGCCCCAATGGGTGCAGTGCCAGCACCTGATATCTTCCTGGAGCCCAGGGCTGGGAGACAGCCAGGGCCAGGGCAGGGAGGCAGCAGCTGTTTGCAGCCTCCCAGCTGCGGCGGGCCCAGGTTCAAGGTAGCTGCTGATAGCCATGGAGCCCGGGCTGCTCCCAGCAGGCGGCTGTGAGGATGGAAGCCCTGCTGCAAGCCGCCTGGGCTTCGTGGCTATCAGCAGCTACCCAGAATCTGGGTGGGCTGCAGCCAGGAGGCTACAAACAGCTGCCGCCCCCCGCCGCCTCCCCCCCAGCCCCAGATCCAACCCTGGGCTCTGGGGAAGCAGCAGATACCGGTGATGCTCCCCACTGTGCTACCCTTGCTGCCGCTTTTGCAGAGCAGCATTTGAAATCCAGCACAGCACGGGGTGCAGAAAGCTGCCTGCCACTCCAAGCTCCCCGCTGCTCTGGCTACACTTCCCCTGCAGGCAGGGGCAGCAGTGAGGGGCTTAACCCTGCATGCTGCCTATGCTGTTCCCATGCACACAAGGGAAGTGTGACCTGGGCAGTGCAGATCAGCATTAGGCAGATTCCCTGTGTGGCCCCTCTATGTGCTGCCACTCTGGGTCGCACACGCTGTGCTCTGGAGGGCCCAGGGGAGGGCAGCAGGGCTGGGAGCGCAGCATATGCAAGGGCAGTACAACGGGGAGCATCGCCGGTATCTGCTGCCTCCCTGGGGCCAGGGCTGGGGCTGGGAGTCAGCTAGGGCCAGGGCTGGAAGACAGAAGCTGTTTTCAGCCTCCCAGCTGCAGCTGGTCCAGGTTCTGGGTAGCTGCTGATAGCCATGGAGCCTGGGCTGGGGGGCAGGGGCTTTAGCTGGGGGCTTTGGCTGGGCGGCAAGGGACACAAGCAGGGCATTCTGCCATGTACCTCCTGCCCTCATTTTGTTTTTCTGGCATGCCAGGCCAGCACTCCAGCACCTTCCAAGGTAGGCTTTGTGGGGTTTTTCAGCACTTCGGCCAAAAAATGTTGCCTACCCCTGGACTAAATAGATGTTGTCTTTGGACCAGGGTCAGCTGTAGTGGGATGTATCCTGCCACAGCTGTTCCACTTCATTAATGTCTACAGATGTCACCAGGGCTATTGTTCCACAGGGTTGGGCGTCTGCTGCTCCTGGGGTTTCAGGGGCCTGAACCTATGGAAAAGTGGTCCAGGGTGCTATGCACCAACCTAGGCCACCTGTCTACAAGTAAGTGAAAACATGGGAGTTCCCCTGCTTGCAGATGCACTCCCTGAGTTAGGATGTGGCAGTGAGATATGCTTGCTGTGGGAGTCTCCTACAGGAAATTCCTGTGGCATGTGTCTGCAAGCAGAAAACCACCATGAAGTTTTCCCTGCTTGAAGAGGTACTCCCTGAGTCAGGGTGCAGCAGCAAGGTACACACATCATGGGGTGCCTATCTGCAAGCTCCCTCGTGCAGGGAAATTTCCATGGCATGCAATAAGCAAACAGATATCCTCCCATTTAAGTCACCACAAACTGTGACTACCTTTGTTTGTGGCAACATTTTTGGGCAACTTGGAGTGCAACAAGGGATTAGGACATCTGTTTATTAGGACATCTGTTTATTTACAATTTGTGCTTCCACAAGGGAGATGGCTGTTTGTACCTTAAATCCTCTCCATCACACCTGACCCTAAGAAATTATTGTTAAAAGGCAAGTAGTTTAGAGAAAATATTTCAGGACTTGGAATGTTATAATGGAGGAATTTTATCCTCATAGACCTTGACTGGAATCAGCAAGGGATTTGTTTGCATGTCAGTATTAGAGCTCACTGGGATTTTTTTTTTTTTTTTTTGACAAAACATTTTTGTTGAAAAATGTCAATTAATCAAAATCAAAGCTTTCTGAAAATGCACTAGTTTGGACAAAACATTTGAGAGAGGTTTCTGAGGTCCAGGATGGAATTTCTGGTCAAAACAAGTCTAGGGATAGAGTCACTCTAGAATATCAAATAGCCCAGAGCAGGGCAGTCACTTGGGATGTAAGAAATGAAGCTTCAGGTCCTTCCACTACCTAAGTTAGATGAGGGACTTAAATTTGCATCTTCCATATTCTGGTGAGAACTTTATCCAACAAGCTAAGGGGTATTCTGTGGAGGATCTCTTCCAATATTGCCTGTTGTAGGTATTCTACTTTGGATAAATAGCTACTTACTGGGTCAGAGAAAAAGACTTACTATATAGGATAGTAGTTGGGGCACTCACCTGAGATGCTGGGAGATCCTGAGAGAATCGTCAATTCTAGTGAATAAATATGTATGCAAACTGTAACAGCTCCAGCAAGAGAAAAGTTGAGAGAGACTCTTCATGGTAAATAGGCTGGTGGTCAGGGCATGGAAAGAACAGTAGAGAATGGACTTGAGCCTGTTCTCCAGGGTTCCACGTGACTTCTAACCATCAGGCTCTTGCCTCTTCTGGAATGTCCCTTTCATTGTGAAAAGCCAAAAAAAAAAATTGGATTTGAACAAGGACATTTTGAAAACTCAAATTTACAAAATAGGAAAACTATCTCCTGCCCCACTCTAGTTAGTTAGCTTTGCAAAACTGAATAGATATGCTTAGTAGATGAAGTCTTAACTTTCCTCTGTGCTGGACACAGAGCTTGCCTGGACCTGTGTGCAAAATTTAAACGACGAAATTATAATACCAGTGCCTTTTGCACCAGAATGTAAACTCATGACTTGGACCACCTGAAAGATAACAATACAGTTAATGCCATCTCTGGCTTTGGTATCAAATATACCCCATGCCCAACTACTCTAATTATGAATAAGTTGCCCTTTCAAAGTGATTGCCTCTCCCTTGTTATCACATTCCTCACCAATCTAGGTGTCTGTGTCAGCTGGAAAATAGGTTGGGATCTGCTCTGTTATAACAATGACCCATACAGTGCCTTACAATTCATGGTCTAAGGTGCTCAATTCAAGTAATCAAGTCCTACTGCAATGAATTAAGTAGTAAACCTCTGGTTTAGGGTGTTGGGCTCCAGCAATCAAGCCATATTATAGTTAAGCAAATGATGAACCTCCAGAGCGATCAAGGCTTTTTGTGCATGTCAGTTTCACCCACAGCAACTGGAGATGGATCCAAAAGGCTAACATTTACAACACAACCAATGGGCAATGACCTCCACACTGTCAGCTTTTTCTGGACCCTGATCTTCAACCCATCAAGAAAATATGCTTTGAAGAAACAGTATAAAGCAAGACAGAACTGCCAGCAAGGTGTGTGCAGTCCAGGGAAGACCAAGAAGCACCCTGCCACCAAGTGAAAGATCCATGCTTTGCAGCTGTACAAGAACTGCTTCCTGCCTGCATTGGGTAAAGATCTCTTTGCAGCTAAGACAAAACTAGGACTAATAGCTTGCTTTATATTGGGAAAGAGTCTTTTTCTGTTATTTAGTTTTGTAGCTTGTTATTAGTTATTAAAACAAGCCTTTCTGCTATTCATCATCCAAGTGTTGTATCAATTCATAAAGTATTGGGTTAAAAATTCGGTTTCTAAGTGCAACACTCTGAAACATAAAATACTGGCAAAAGCTATGATGATAGTCCATGCTTTATATAAATAATGTTTGGAATAATTTGGGCTCATAAAAAGTTGGTGTATGTGGCTATACATTCAGGAAATGCAGCCCAGCTAATACAGGCTAGAAAATGCTTACTTCTCATTTTGTTTTAAGTAATAAAAAATCTCTTTTAAGAAGCAGGGGCAGTAGATGTAAGCAGCTGAAGGCTGTGTAGAGCTTTTTCCAAATAAATATGATTTGCAGTGACTGGGATTTGGATGTCTGAGAACATCAAGCTTGTGAGAAGCCCACATTATGTAACCTCACAACCTCTGGAATGTCTATGAACAATTAGAGATTAAGGAGATTAGGGGCTATATTCCCTCCATCATATTTTACATTGACTATGTTCTTTCTCTAGGGACTGGTTTAATAATATAAGAAAATTTTGCTGCTGGCTATGGACTGTTGTATCTCCTTGTAGAACTTTGTCACTGAGTGTTAGGTAGTGCTGGTGTTTGAGAAGCCTGTTTATTGTGCTGGGACTTTCAAGTAATCTATTGTAGGTGACTAGGAAAAGAAGAAAATCTATATTGGGTTGCTTCCCTTACAATATTTGAGTTCACAATGAAATGGCTATCCTAAGAAGTCTTTTCTGTTAAGTATAATGCAGGTTCCTTATCTAGAACTTCCCAGTCATAAAAGTCTGCATTCCTAACTGCTTTGTCTTATATAGACCATTGTAAATAGTTTTTAGGACTTCCATGACTCAGGAGACCACTTGTGTACATTAGGTTTGTAAATACAAAGAGTTTGTCTCAATTTTGAAAAGGCTAGGTGTCCTATAAGTTTGAATGCTGGTGATATCTATATGGTCTTTTCCTTCTAAAATGGTCTTCCATACATTTTTCTGTGTGTGTGTGTGTGTGTAGAATATCTATATTAAAATATATGGAATTAATACATATTTATGGACTTATATTTTTAAGGGAAATGACTTTCTGTTATGAGCTTGTAGTTTATTAGTGTGTTATTTTCATTTTAAATCATTACAGAAAGAACTTATTCTTTAGTCTTGTAGAACTTTTCATAATACTTAGGGGTTCCTGATATAAAATATTCTTGTCTACACTGATCTACTAACATGTTATGAGCTGCTATTTTATTCTCCAGAGATAGCAGGTATTTACATTGGACCCTATTCTGCAACTGAATCTAGACAGGTTGAAGTTAATTGTGTTCTATGGTCCATGCGCACAGATTCAGCTGCATGAAGTAACATAATATCTTTATGGTGATTTTTGGCAAAAGTTATTTTATGTAGGAAGGGATTTGAAAAGCCCTTCAAAACTTGCTGTATGACTTTGTGAATGTAACAGAGCAAGTTCTAAATGTTTCAGGATCACAGAATATGTTTTCTGTTTAGTTCTCACACTGTCAAGTCCTTTTTGGATTCTGGACAGCTTCACGTAAATCTTTAGGTTGTAGAAAATACCTTAGAAACATGGGCTTTGGTTTGGTTAGGTATTTTGAATAACCCTAAAGTAACAATACAAGTAAATAGTTGAGGAAAAGGTGACATAAGAAATTATGTAACTGGAAATAGAGATGCCCTCTGAAATGTTATAAGTGCTACCTCATTAATAAATTCACTTTATCCAGCTCATTATTTAATTGTATGTTCAATGGCAAAGGCAGTCATAGTAAAGCCTGGTGTCTAGCAACACCAGTACAGTTAGGCATGCAGCTTCTCTTTTTGTCACGTTTCACTGCTCCACAAAAGTGTTTTATAAAGTGTATAATGGGTACACTAGGTTCAAGATGACTCATTTTGTCATTTACACAGGTGAAATGGAAGCTGATTTACAGTTACCTGCATCACTTATCTAGAACTCTAGCTTTGCTAAGAGTCTGTACTTTTTAAGACTATTCTAAAAACTTTTGCGTTGTAATATCATTGAAAAAAAGCCCATGCTGTGTGCAAGACAGAAGCTTCATTTGGAATTTCATTCTGAGGCAGAAGCATATAATGATGTTATAAAAACACCTAAAACCATGAAGTGCCTAATAATATAGTCTACACTACAGGGAGTATTTTGTGGCATTACAATTTAAGATGGCTGAGTTACTTTTATATAAAAACCTGGAAGCACTTTTTGTGTTACTTCTCAGGAAAGAGGACAAAGTGAAGTGAAATACTTTTTTGACTTAAACTTATGCCTTCAAGGAAACTCTTTTATTCTTTTAGGAATGATTTTGTTTATGAATAATTATTTTAAAAATAAATGCTAGTAGTCTATTCTCATTACCAACTTCTGACAGCTTAGATAGTCTATAAAACACCAGGACAGACTAATGCTATAGATTACCTCAACTTTGGAGATGGTAAAATTTAGATATGAACTTTGGCTAGTGTCCCCCTCTCTGAAGTGAACCAGTGCTATGCAGACACTTCCAGACCTCAGGAAATTTTAGATCTGGGTTCATTTGTTGTGGTAGTTCTCTTTGAATCAAAAGAGCTGCTACTTAGTTACTTTTGTAACAAGCACCCAGTAACTTGTTTTTTCTATGAAAACAGCATAATACAATAACAACCCAGCAAATCTAGAATTAATAGAGTATGGCTATTCATTTAGAGACCAGCTTTGTGACCCAGGTGATAGGAGTAGGCACAGAGCAGCCAAGGCAGGGGGAATGAAATGCAAAACTGTGTAGGAGGAACTCCTCAATATGTGGGCCTAAGGACCTATATGCTACCTTCTGTCCACATAACATTTTGTGGCTATGGAGAAAACCTACAGAGAGGAACTGATATTTCAGTCTCCAGTGAGTAGAAATGGCTTCAGAAGCAGCCCAAGCAGGGTATTTTGGACAATCAGAAACTTTCTACAGTTTGGACTACACTTTCTTGCCTTTTGAAGACTACCTGCTTGTTCTAGCTCTCTCTCTCAGCCCCCTCATCCCATCTTCACTTCTTACTCTGCCTCTTATTGTCTTCTCCCTTGACTTGCTCACCTTGCTTCCCTTCTGTTGCCGAGCACTGAGGTGCCCTGCTCCTAAAGAGGGGAACTGCTAGGGGAAGAGCCCTAGCAGTGAGTAAGGAGCCCAGCTGGTGGTCACCATGGCAACTAGTGTAATTAATGACCCACACCTGCCAGCGGTCAGCTGACTGAAGGGGGCAGGGCCTGGCACATATAAACCCCATGGCTGAAGCCAGAGGGGGAGTTCCCTGCCAGCAGCTAAGGGGGGGAGGAGCTCTCTCAGGGAAGAGAGGAGAAGCCTGACTGTAGGAGCAGCATCTGACACTGCTGCGGGATGAAGTATTCCCCAGTAGGCCTGAATGATGTTTTAGCCGGGCGGCTTTAATTTATGTTACAGCCCAGGGGCTTGTGTTTTGTTGCTGCTTAAAGACCGGTGATTTGGGTGAGGCTATTAGGGGTTGGAGGAGGCCTCATAGAGGACCCACAGCGGTGTGGAGACCCCAGCACCAGCAAGGGCGCAGCATTCGGTGTGCACTAACCCCAGCCCCAGAAAGGGGGGCAGTTGAGAAGCCCCAGAGAGGGGATGTTGAGAAGCCCCAATGTGGGTGTGGTGAGCCCCTAGAGAGGGGGGCAGCGTTTTGGAGAAGCCCCTAGAGACGGGGGCAGAGCAAGACAGGGCCGCACAGGGTCCAGAGAGGACAAGGGGGCCAGATTATAACAAGGCCTGGACTGAACAACATCAATTCCAGCTTCCAAGTCCAGGCTTGGGGCGTGGTAAAGGTGTGGTTGGAGCCACGCATAGCCCATAAGGCTATGGTGCCCCGGAAGCACCCATTGCAGAGCGGGACCCACAAGGGGTCTGGGATTCCACGGGATCAGGTATTACAATAAGCCATGTCCAAGAGGACGTAAGGCAGCCTCCCATAGATTTATTCTCCATCAAAGACGTGGCGGGTGAGAAGTGAGGGTGCCCTTTGGGCCAACTTGGCAGGGGAAGGGGGCCTTGGGGAGATTACGGCCATCCCACAGGACCCCGTGCCATGACACATTCTAAACAAACATAGGACCTATAGTTAAAAAAAGAGAAACCAGATACCATACAGTGTGGCACAGGGGTTGTGTTCCCATGAGCAGGAGCATGGAGTTCATAGCACCTCAAAGTCTTTTCAGGTGCCACAAAACTCATACAGCATATGCAAATCCATTTGCTGTGCTGCATATTTGCAGTGTGCAGCAAAATTAGATACCAGGAAATCTTGATATCTAAAAAAAACTGTGGAGAAAAAAAAGCAGCATGGAGTATGTGGTTGCATGTGCTGCCAGAAATCAGACCCTGGCCAGCCAGAGCCACACACCAGCTATCAGCCAGGCCCCAAGTGGCCAGATCACTGCTGCTGCAGCTCTAAGAAGCCCTCACGATCCCAGGTAAGGCTGTTGGGGCCAGCCCAGGTGCTGGCCTCAGCCTTACCTACCCAACCTGGGGCAATTTGCCTTGCATCAGAGCTCATGCGCAGGGGTATGCCCGGGGACAGCTAGCAGTGGCACAAATATGTAAAAAATATTTGTGCCGCTGCTAGTTGTCCTGAGGAAAATGCATGTTCCTGCTCATGGGGATGCACCCAGGAGAGGCAATGGCACCCCCAATGTGTTGGACCCCTGCAATGGAACAGAATTAATTAAAATATATCCAAATGATCTTTAGGAGTGAACCATGCCACAGAGAAAGGCCAAAAAGCAACGGGGGGAAAATTCCTTGCTACTAATTTGATGATCATTTTAAACCTGTGAATAAGATCCAAAAGCCAGTCACCTGAGAGACTTGGAAACACCACTGTATCCTAGCTAATCTTCCAGTCTTAGCCATGGCTAATGGTTGATGAAGTTGGGCCTTTCCTCCCCTGCCCCCCAGGAATCCAGGCAGTGCAGTCAAGGAGGGAGAAAAATTTCTTCCTGGACCCTACAG